ACCGCAACATACAGTTAATCATAAAACATAGTGATTGTGTTAAAACAATTGAACTTAGAATAAGAATTAATTTACAATTTTAAAGGTAAGTTTAAGTATTATATTTTTACATTATACACAATAAATATCAGTAAAATAACTAATCAAACTTCTCGATTTTTTTTATAGTCGAAACAAAGTAACTTCAAAAAAACACTTTCTCCTAGAATCATGCAGTCATGCAGTATGTGTGTAAAGATCGGAGCACTTTTACTGATATTTATCGTGTATACATATTATAAAAACGATAATTTTTTTTTTTAATTAATTTAAAATCTAAATAAAATTTATACAAATAAATGTTGTGTAATAATTTTTATTAACAAACATTAATAGACGACTGTTTTAGCTCAATGAATAGGCCAAAATACATTTTAATTTGTTAATATTTCCTTAAATAATAATAAACTTTCGATAGTTGGAATGTCGACATTTTGACTGTTGGCATTTTTAACCGCCTCCTTTTTTCCTGCCGAAATTTTTCAAAAAAAAATTCAAGACAAGTTTGAAAATTATACATTTTTCATCACTTGTAAAAAAATTATCTTTAATTATTTGATTTCAAAAATGGGACATTTTTTTATTCTATTTGTTAAATATTAAATAAATATATTTAAATTGCCTGACTCGTTATTTGTTACTTGTTTAATTTTAATAACCAAAATAATTAAATTGTAATTATTGGGTAATTTAATAAATAGCTACATTTAATATAATAATTTAATAACGTAAATAATTTTCGATAAACATTATTTTTTTCGTTTTAATTATTTATAGACCATAATATGAGAGGTTAAAGTTTGATTTTTGTTTACATCAAATGTTTTTCAAAACTTCTAAATTATAATTTGAGAACCATTTAAAGTTACCCAGACGCTAACCAATTAATGTGGATTATTTGTTATTTACGTCCATGAAATACCTAATCAATTATCTAGTAGCAGTATATACACGGTATTATACATCCATATATCCGGAGGGGGGGACAGTATAGATCGGAAAAATAATACACAGACAAATAATCTTTAGAATTTTATTTTGCATGGAATGATAAAGTCCAATAGTTCCCATTTTAACACTTCGATCGCTTCGCTCACTAATTCATGTGCTAATTTCTGTCGGATTTTTAAACGAAAAAAAATCCCTGTTTTGTTGTGCAAAACCACGTTGGATGAATAACAGAATAACAGGAGAAAAAGTGCAATACGAAGTATAAAAAAAATAAAGGAGTATACTTTGCACAATGGGTGGGAAATTGTTGTAGATGAGAAATTAGTAAGGTAGAAGAGAAATTTAATATATAACTGAGCGGAGTTCGGTTATACATGTTTTGAAAGGCCGTAATGTTTACGATTTGATAATAATACATTTTGTAAATTTTTCCGCTTTCTTTAGATTTTTCCCATTTATTATAAAAACCCCTAGGTCAAATTTCTGAAAAGTTTTTCAAAGAAAAAAAAATAAATATCATTGTAAAACCAATACATTTCTCCCTCCACTCAGAATCTAAAACATCTATTTTACGTAGTCAAAAAAATATATTTTAGAAACCAATGATTATTATTCTTTTCCCGATTAACTACTGTGTTTTATGTATATCCCATATAACCACGTTTTTTTTTAGCAAGTATGCTAAATAATGAACTATGTGAGAAGTGAACTAAGCATATTCGCCGTATACCCTTTCACCCATGCACCACCGATTATGTCTTTATATTTGCAATTATTGTCTAAAAATATATTGTCAATCCATTCAACCATACACCAATAATTATTATTATTACGATGCATAGGTTAATATATCATTTTTAATTAATATTATACTGTTTTATTAATATGTGTGCGCTTTGTTAATACTATACTATTCATCAAATTGCAAATCAAGACTCCTTTAAACTACCTAATCATTTATAAGTTGTTTTAATATGCTGTATCATATTTATAATATATTAGTATGATTATAAATTTATGATTAAGATAGATTCGATAGAAATGGTTTTTTCAGCATTATTATAAAAGTTGTTATAATAAAAGATGTTTTTCGTTGTTTTTTTTTTTTTTTTATACAATTATTATAAACATTTTAAAGAATCATTTGTTTTTAATGTTATACATTTTATAGCTATTGTATTTCGCCGTAGATTCATCAAAACCGATATTTTACGTACACTTATATCTATTTATTTGAATATTCTATAAAACCGTGTTATTGGTAACTGCGCAGGGACATGTTCCTATGTATGTATATATATATATTTTTTCATTTGTTAAGTATAAACATTATTAACCTATATTATACATATGTACAATTATAAACAGTATGCTTATATACAACACATCTACGTGTTATTTTATAATAATTATGAATTATTGTAATAATACCTATCCGAGTATACTTGTATATTTTAATTTGAATAATGATGAGTTGACCAGTAATAACTTTATGTGTCATCTTAAATTCTTCAAATCGTTAATCGATTTATAAATTAAATTTGCGTCCGATATAATTGAAACGTATGACGAGTATTAGCTTGTATACAGGTGAAACGAACTAAGCTTTATCTTAAACCAGTGTAATTTTAATTTAGTTTACTTAGTTAAGTACATTAATATGGATAATGTATGGTACCGGTTGGTGCGAATTTATCTTGCAGTAAAAACAGGTATACGATTCTAAGGCAATTCTAGTGTACACAATGATGCAGTCAAATATAATTATTCGCGTATATTATCACATCCCTTTTTTTTCGTACGAGCGATTGGCCCCGAACACGTCTAAATAATTATACATTTTACACAAATCCGGTCGGAACGTTGACAATCGATAGGTATATGTTTTAAAATTGAGTACCTATAGGAGCATTTGATGCGAACGGCCGTTAAACGACGGGTGTTTTCTTTCTTTACTTTGTATTTGAAAACGCATTGTGCCGAATAATATTATTTTAAACCAAATTATATTGTAATGTTTCCATCTTTGTCGCACTAGACTCTTGAACAACTCTCATTCTCAAACTATAAAAAAAATAATTTAAGTATAAAAGGGCGTGTTTCGTCAGAAAAATCGGACAAGGGTATTCTGTGCGGCGGTCGCGGAGGAAAATTCCACGGCTCAAACACGGAAATATTTTATAACAGATACGGTGTGTCGTTTACACTTATTTCGACATTATTCTAATATGCTGAACGTCGTCATCATTTTACGATCATTTTGCAATTAATTTAGAAAAGTCGTAAACATAATTATAATTTCGATTTTAACTACCACAAATCCTTCATGTTTATAAGTGCTGCGTATAAATTATGTATTACCACCGATTTTGGAGTAGTGTTCGATTTATTTATTAGTTTATTTTATAATTCAACCTTTTATTTTCCTAATTTATAGATTAGCATTTTTTTAACTGAGTGCACACAGGTGCAAAATGTTAATTAATTAAATTAGTTTACCTTAATTAAATTGTGATTGTCATCCAACGATTCACGGATCACTTGAGGATATCTATAATCTATAACACCCTAGCATTCCAACACCGTGGGTAGGTAAAATAATTATATCTTTCTTTATTTATTGATCTCGTTACCATTCTCGGATTCACGATTCCGAATCCCCTTCAAACATTGGAGGGAAGGTAGTAATATAATTAGTAGGCTGAATTTTTATTATGTTTAAAGATAAATCATTCTGTGTAGTACCAAAAACTAGATTAATTATTTCATATTATATAGGTACATTTTTATACCTACTCCTCTATATTTTATTCATTGTAGGTACTTCTACGTAATGTCCTATTATTTTAAATATTTTTGTCTTCTATTACTATATTTAATGTCTTAGTCATCTACTATTTCAACCCCCCCCCCCCCATAACTTTTTACTCTCTCTTTTTATTTTCCTATTTTTTGTATTACTACAATTATTGCATCCCTTTTTTTTTCGTACGAGCGATTGGCCCCGGACCCGTCTAAATAATTATATATTTTATACAAATCCGACCGAAACGGTGACAATTGATAGGTATATATTTCAGAATTGAGTACCTATAGGAGCATGTGATGCGAACGGCCGTTAAACGATGGGTGTTTTCTTTCTTTGCTTTGTATTTGAAAAAGCATTGTGCCTTATAATATTATTTTACATTGTAATGTTTCCACCTTTGTCGCACTAGACTATTGAATGACTCATATTCTCGAAAATAAAAAAAAAAATTAAGTATAACAGGGCGTATTTCGTCAGACCAATTGGACAAGGGTATTCTGTGCGGCGGTCGCGGAGGAAAATTCCACGGCTCAAACACGGAAATATTTTATAACAGATACGGTGTGTCGTTTACACTTATTTCGACATTATTCTATTGCGCTGAACATCAATTTACGACAGTTTTTCATCAGGCCGAAGTCCGGCGAGGTCAAACGATCGGTAAGTATCTAGTTTACTAATTGTTCACGCAGAGGCGCATTATTATTCTAATAATTTCGAAAAGGAATTCTTTTTTTTATAACTATTTTTAACTTAATTTGTAATAATTTTAATAGCGATATTATAAAAAACAATTTAAACAAAGTATAAAATTAATAGAACTTGCGATTTGGCAGGTAAAATAATTAACCTATAATTTTTCTCAGATTCGTTTTTAATTAAAAGTAGTTATCCTAAATTTGTTTTTTTACTATATAATATTGAAAAAAAATATGTTCTTTTCAATATTATATAGTAATATTTTTTCTATTAACTACCTAAATATTTTGTATATGCCTAATCGAATAGCTAATTATTTATTTAAAAGGTGTTTTAATAAATTTACTATGACTCGACAATTTGGTATGATAGAGTTATTTAAATTTAACAATGGAATAAATAAATTTTATTTCTATTGATTCATGACTAATGTTTACTCAGAACTAGTCGGATGTTTGAACAGTGATAAATAATACTAATGTATTAATATTAATGAATAATATAGTATTTATTTAATTTTTTGATCATAAAATAATTGTAAATTAATTGTAATAGGATGTTTGAGATAGTACCTACTTAGGTATCGATATTATATTAACAGTATTATAGTAGAGTATTTAATTATTATTTTAAATGTTAATTGGTATATACTTGACAATCTTGTTTACAGGATTAGAGTTAAAATAAAACGACGGTCAATATGATTCGGTTGGAGGGAGAGTAGTTGGTAATCGTATTTTGTGTAGTGGTACGGCGAGCGGCGTTTTAATACTGCACAAATAGGCACCGAATTTGCACCACCAATTTAAATATATTTAATATATAATAATAATTTAAGCATTTGTATAGGTAGATTATAATAATTTAAACCTTTTTAATAATTTATACTTTGTATTAATATAAAAAATCACACAATTTCTAAACAAAAACAATATGAAATTTCGTTATTTTACTGACAGTGTTGACAGTTGTTTATCTTATTTATAAAAATTCGTTTGTAAATGTACGAACCACATAATCCTTTTGGTGTGTGACCGAAAAATTTGTTATATCATACGTTTTACATAATACAGGTGCATATATATTTTTTTTTTTTCAAAGGATCCACCAGGTTAATTCAACAAAAGTTTGTGTACATAGGTATATTATTTAAAATTACTATTTAATTTTTTTCTTGAAATTTTATAATTTATAACTTTAGCGGTTCTCCGTTATAATGGATTAGGAAACAAATGCCTGAAAATTCGATATTTATTATATTATTCTGATAAGCTCGCGCACTCTAGTGCAGTCATCCAGTCGAACTATTTGGTTTAATAATATTTTATTATTTGTCCAGGACATTAATACGACATTCGTTACTCAAAAGTCAACTAGTTGTTCAAATTTGTCGTTGCCGCCTGCACTGTTGTGAAATGACAGACAAGCCGCCACAGGCCAACAGGAGATATGCCGCCGCCACCGTAACTCTTACCGGCAACCATGGTGAAACGACGGACGCTACCACAAATCCTTCATGTTTATAAGTGCTGCGTGTTTTATTAATATTAAAGTACCTATAAATTATGTATTACCACCGATTTTGGAGTAGCTACTCAAAATCTTTACTAATAGTTTGTGAGTCAATTCTGAGAACATGAGAGTTACGTTTTTAAAAATTATACTTTAATTTTTTGTACAGAACTTGCACGATACACAAAAATGGCTACTGGTCGTAGTAACGTTGTAAACTTTTATATCTGTGACTATAATTAATACTGCACCTGTCGCCATCACCATTAGAGACTCGAAATTCAATAGAGGCATAAGTCGTCATTATCCTATTTGATGCATGCCACTGAACTATATACATATATGGAACGCGTATTAGGTATAATTTCAATTGGTTGATGAGGATCCATGTAAGAGTTCGCTATTAATATTCCGTTTCTGAATTTTACTTACCGTATATAACTTAATTTATTGATTGCTAACTTCATATTTATAGTTTTTTTAGATTCTGAGCGTAGCGAGGAATGTATTGGTTTTACAATGATGTCTAATTTTTTTCTTTATGGCCTATTAAGTATAAAAACTTAGAAACATTTTACATAAGCTATATGATTATTACATATTTAATATAAGTTTAATTACGTGAAAACATTAAATAATTTTCTCGTATCCTAATGTTAATAAAATTATTAATATTATATACTTGTGTATATGGACATATATGTTTATTAATTATGAAATTTTCTGACAATAATGTAAATTTTAAAATTCCCAGATGTATGGTATGTGTATATAAAAAATTAGAACGACGTATTTTAAAATGAATTTATTTGATTTTATTTATTTATTTATTTATTACATATTATTTACATTATACACTTGGGAACATAATGTAAGTCTAAAACGATGTGCTCGTGGTTATCAAATAAATGGAAATATTAATTAATAAAACATTTTTATTTTATTTTACCAAACATTTAAAAAAAAAAAAAAAAATTTGCTTTTCAACTCTCCCATAGTTGTTCATTTTAAATTTACTTTTTTAATATTTAAATATTTGAGTTGAAAATCTTTGTTCATGATTCTCATTATTTAGAACTTCATATCCATAACCCCAAATATTTTATCCTTTTTATATATTTATCAAATCATTATGCACTCTCTAAAATACCAACTAGACGACTAGAGTCTTCAGAAAAGGTGTTAGTTCGTATTTTTTAAGCAAGTTTACTAGGAGAAAAAGAATATTTAAAAATGAATTGCAAAAGTTGGAATTATTTTGTTTTTTTTATGTCAGGCTGGGAAATGATTATTTGAAAATATTGATACCATTTTCAAAAAAATGGTCGTGCGTGGGGGGTGGCAAACTTTACACACATTGAAGCGTAGGTCTCAATGAATCGTTTCAATATAAACCCCAATTTTACGATGTTTATTTTTTTTTTTTCTGTGGACAACTTTTCTACTAGAAGTTTTAATTCAATTTTCAATGGTAGCACTTTTTCTAAATTGGAATCGGACTGAAGGGATCCTTTTAGAAGGTGGTTATTTGATTTTTCCAGAAGTTCTTCGAACAAATGGAATATCCAAAATAAAACAGAGGAACAACTGGAAAAAGTGAGAAATTTGTTAGTCAAATATTATTGTTTCTTTTATTTAGTGAACAGCTTTTCTACCATCAATTTCGCTTCAATTTACAATAAAAGCACTTTTTCTAAAAGGAAATCTGGCTGGAGAGGTACATTAAAGAGGACATTTTTGATTTTCTCATGAGTTTTCCCAATAAATGGGAAAAACGGGTAAATAGGTACAAAATTAAAAAAATATAATTAAAGAAAATATATAACGCATATTTAATTATTTTACAATAATATGACTCTGTGGTCAACATACAAATTTAGAAAAAAATTTACAAGTATTTATTACAAATTACACATTTGCTTTTTTTTTTATATGGTGTCTTCACAATATTTATATGAGCTGGTTTTTTTTTTTAAAATTATACAATAAGAATTGTTACATGATCTTGATATTGTATACTGTAATGTGTGTATGTATGTGTAAGATGATTTACATTTGATTGGTGTTGATTTGAATAAATTGATATAATATGATTATTTACGTAGTAGTGGTTATTAGATAACAATAATATTTTGTTAATAATGTTATATACCAAATTACTAATTGATTACTAAATAAATACTAATTGATTATATATTTTTTATAAATTGGGGTAATTTACATATGAATTTGAGAGAGTTTAATAAAATAATATATAGATAGTGGTAGGTTAAAATAGTAACTTGGAAGTATGTGAAAAATTAATTAAGAATGCTAAAATTACTACATTATTTTTTTTTAATAATTAATTAATCTCAGAGGATTTTATTTATTGTCTGTCTCTCTCCCTCTCTCTCACTCTCTCTCTGTCACTTCTTCTGTGATGCATCAACTTCTTCTCAGCCTGTTTGTTGAACATCTGTGATTAAATATGTCGTTTTGAATATTTATACATGGATATTGTGTTTTTTAATTTTGTAAAATGTGTAGGTCTTAAATGTAACTGTTATTGGAGCTGTTATTAAGCTGTGTTATTGGAAAGTCTGATATACCAGTATTTTATACTCTTTTTTGTTGCTATGATTTGCGCTTGATTTTCGATTTTTGATAAAGTTTTGCCAAGTGTATTGTCATTGTATGTTTGAGATGGAGATATGAGAGAAAAAAAAGGAGACAAAACAATGTTTTCGATCCATGGATTTTACAAATAAAAAGGTTTGTGAAAATAGTGTATTGATAGAATGACATTGTATTTGTAATTACATATTTTTGTAAAAGAATTGATAGATTTATTTTTTAAACATTTTTATTTTTTTATTTTTTGTAAGTGAATATAAGTCAATATAATGTTGTAGTATCATCTAATAAAATGTGTAATATATAATTATTGTGAATAAAGTTTTATGAGTTTCGATTGTAGATTTAGGTAAATTGTAAATAATGAAAAATAAAATAACGTAAATTAATAACTTAATAATATAATGTTAGTATAACAATATTTTTTTTTGTGTAAAATATGTAGATTACATTGTAGGTAAATATAGATATTATATTATATATTTTAGATGGTTAAATATTATTGTACATAATATATATATAATAATATAACATATTTTCATTTTTTTTTTTTTTTTTTAAGGTTTATACAAGGATTCTTTTTATTTTATTTAAACATAATGATATTATAATAACACAGAAAAATGTTAAATTTTTGTGGGCAAGAATATTTGTATTATTTAACAATATAAAATAATATAATCAATAATTCTTGATTAAACAAAAAAATACAATATAATAAACATAATTTGTAATAAATTTATTTTTTATAGTTTTTTAAAAATATTTTGTTAATATAGTATTAAGATAATTATAAGATAATTATAAGATTATTAGCTAATTTAAATGTTTAGCATATAATAATATATTGATGAGATGAGACAATAACTATATAAATTAAACGTCATGGCCTATAAAATATAATAATAAATTAAGAGTACCAATAATATATTATTTAACGATACGTATCACGTTAAAGTATTGTAAATAAAATATTTTAAATATCTAATATCTAATAAATAGGGAAGCCATGAATGGCAAAAAGAGTCTAAATGCTAAAGATTACATAAAAAAAAAAAACAAAAAATTAAAAGGTTAGTAATTTGATAAAATATTCTTATCTAAGTATTTGTAGAGGTTATAGTTATAATAAAAATATATACTATATTAATTCTATAACATATCCGAAAATAATATTTCGATAAGAAATCATCGATAAGAGGACATTATGATAAGCACGAAATAACATTTGAAAAAATTTCGTTAAGTTTGTGAATAACTCATATTTGATAAATGAGGAAAACTTGAATTGCAAACAAAATCTCATTGCTATAGATTATTTTGTAGGAGACAAAAAACAGAAGATAAGTAAATTGATTAAATACTCATTTCTATGTATTTGTACGGGCTATATTTACAATAAACATATATGTTATATTTCGTATATTACGTGTCGAAGATTACATTTCAAATCATCGATAAGAGGACGTTAAGATAAGCAGAATAAAGCATAGAAGTGCATATCGTTTAGTTTGCGATTAATTAACATCTAATAAACGGGGAAGACATGACTGGCAAAAAGAGTCTAATTGCTAAAGATTACTTAGAAGGAGACAATATATAATAGTTTAGAGAATTGATAAGATACCCAAATCGTTTTTTTTACGACCACACTAAAATAAATTAATTGGGAAGTAAAAATTAGCAAAAAGAATATGATGGCTATGGATTACTTTGAAGGAGATAAAACATAATAGTTTAGTAAATTGATAAAATACTATTATCTATATAATTGTAAAGGCTATTTTAATAATAAGAATATATGTTATATTTCGTCAATTGCGTGTCTTTAATTACATTTCAAATCATCGATAAGAGGATATTATGATACACACAATATAGCATATAACTGCATTTCTTTTAGTTTGTGATTATCTAACATCTAATAAACGGTAAAGTGATGAATAGCAAAAAGAGTCTGATTGCTAATGATTAGTTAGAAGGAGACAAAATATAATAGTTTAGATATTTGATAAAATACTCAATGTATTTTTATTAAGTCAATTATAGATTAAATAAATTGAGAGGTCACGAATGGCAACAAGAGTCTGATTGCTAAATATTACTTAGACGGCGACATAAAATAATAGTTTAGAGATTTGATAAAATACACAAATTGTTATTTTTATGAACAAATTTAAATAAAAAAAATTAGGAAGTCATTCGTGGCAAAAAGAGTATGATTGCTATGGATTGCATTGAAAAATACAATACGTAATAGTTTAAAAAATTGATAAATACCCAAATCTTTTGTTTTACGACCACACTAAAATAAATAAATTTGGAACTAATGAATGGCAAAAAGAATATGATTGCTATGGATTGCATTGAAAAAGACAATACGTAATAATTTAGTAAATTAATAAAACACTATTATCTATATAATTGTACAGGCTTTTATTATAATAAGAATATATGTTATATTTCGTCAATTGCGTGTCCTTAAATTACATTTCAAATCATCGATA